GGGGTGGAGCCACAGGGCTCAGGGAAAAGGCAGGTAAATGTGTGCTGCTGTGCTGTCTAAAGCCAGCTATTTGGAAGCCTTCTATGCTGAAAAACAGCATTTCCAGTAATCTGTTCCAATGAACTCTGGTGGAAAAGTAATAAAGAATGGCAATCCCCTTGGTCTCCTGGAGAAAGAGAGAGATGGAGAGGCTGACTACAACTTAGGTGGCTATCAGTACCAATACTTATTTATCCTGGAACTTTCCAAGCATATCAGTAGCTTAGAGCAGTGGTCCTCAACCTTTTCGGCATCAGGGACCAGTTTTATGGAAGACAGTTTTTTCATGGCCTGGGGCATGGGGGATGGCTTGCGGGTGATTCAAGTACAAGATATTTATTGTGTACTTTATTTCTATATTACTACATATACAACATATAATGAAATAAGTATGCAACTCACCATCATGCAGAATCAGTGGGAACCCTGATTGTTTTCCTGCAACTAGATGGTCCTATCTGGGTGTGATGGGAGACAGTGACCTTAAGCATGTTGCTTATGTCCAGTCTACTCCATAATCTCGTGCTGGTTGCTGTCACTGCAGATAACCCTGCTTCTCAAAGACAGGATGTTGGAAATGGAAGCAGGCTTTTCAGTGCCTTTGTGGCAATCTCAGGATATTCTGCCTTGACTTTTATCAACCACACTTTTAAGGCCACTGTCATTTGCGATCTCAAGCAGTTCTCTTCTAGCTACCGCTAGCCACTTCTAGCAGTCTCAAACTAGATCTCTTCTAGCACAAAGTCGATTCACCTGGCTTATTCACAAATGGGTTGAGGATCCATTCCTTCCCAGTTCATGGGGTTTTGTGGTTTTTGTGCTCAAACTCTTTTGAAAGCTGAGGTAGGTGACCATGCACCAGTTGGGAGAAAGAAGTCCCTGGTTCAGTCTCTTTCAAAATCTCTGGTAATGTTTGAAACATGTCAAAAATCCCAAAGTTCATTCATCGTCCCCATAATTCCAGTTTGGCTTTGAATGTAGCAACTTTATCTGCCAACTTTCAGTTGTCATTCTCCCCTGGAGTAGCAGATTGAGTTCATTGAGCAGGTTGAATATGTCACATAAGCAAGTTTTGTAACTCATTCTGTGTCTCTGAAATGTGCTGCCAGTGGTGACTGTTTTTCTAAAAGAAATCTCTGGAGCAGCTCTCATAACTCAAACACTCTGGCCAGTGATCTACCTTTAGAAAGTTATCTCACTTCTGTGTATAAGAGAAGACGTGTGCTTTGCATCTAACTTCTCACAGAGCTATGCAAACAGATGTGAGTTAAGGTTGTGTACTTTAATGTGGCTGATAATTTTAATCACATCCTGCAAAATGTTGTTAAGTTCAAGTGACATTTTTTGGCTGGCTAGCATTTCTCTATGGATGACAAAGTGCATAGGCCCACATTCAGAAGTGACTTCTTTGACCCAAGTACTGAAACCAGAAAGCTATCCAGTTATGGAAGCTGCTCTGCCCATGCATATACCGACACAAAATGACCAATTCCATTTTTCTTATATGTAATCATTCGAAGACTTGAATAGTTCTGCAGTTGTGGTACTGGTTGACAACAAAAGTGCACATAACATATCCTCATGCACATCCTCTTGAAAAATATACTGCACAAAACAAGCATTGTAGCTTGTTGTCAACATCAGTAGACTCGTCAACCTGGACTGCATACCCTACATCATTAATCAGCCCCACCTCAGACCATCAGGCATCAGATTCTCATAAGGAGCACCAGCTTAGATCCCCCACACGCACAGTTCACTATAGGGTCCACGCTCCCATGAGGATCTAATGCTGCTGCCACTGATCTGGCAGGAGGCGGAGCTCAGTGGTCACGTGAGTGATGGGGAGTGGCTGTAAATGCAGATGAAGCTTTGCTCACTTGCCGGCTGCTCACCTCCTGCTGTGCAGCCTGTTTCCTAACAGGCCACAGATCAGGTCTGGGGATTGGGGACCCCTGGTTTAGAGGTTCTAGAAGTTATTTCGTGGCTTTCAGGAGAAAGCGGCAGTTTCTGGGAGAACTGCCAATCACTAATTCACAAAGCAACAGCCGCTTAAGCAAAAGATCATTAGATTTCATGTAGACCTTTGTGGTTTGATTAAAGGTTAAGCATGGAGGCTTCGATGAATAAAGATCTCACCGTTTTATCAGTGAAGGGCATCTTATAACTGGTGTCAGGAGACTGTCCTCCCCAGCACTGCTCTTCTCTAGGTGTGCCCCAGTTCATCTTGTGGCCCTCATGCAGACTGTGTTGAGGACGTGCTGCGAGGGCTCCTTTACCGACAACCCTGATGCTGAAGACACGTGAGGACAAGGCCCTGTCTTGCTTCCTCTCTGGACAAAACACAGGACCAGGCAGCCACCGAGATGGGGAGGCTGTCCCCACTCTGTACCTGCCCCTTCTCCTTGCTGCATCCAGGGCACAGGGACCCTTGACCTGAGCTGGGGCTGCCCATACTGTGCTTTCTGTGCAGCAGGAATTCCCTTCTTTAAAACAGGGTGCTAAGGTGACCCCTCAGGATCAAGGGTGCTATGTAAAACATTTAGGAAAGTCAAGGGTGAGTTATGCCACAAACGAAGAGATGCAGCATGCTTGAGGCATGTGCTGAGCTGGTACCCGAGGATCCTGCAAACCACTGTCTTCCCCTGAAGCACATGCCTCCTGCAGCCACGCCCATAGCCAGTTCAAAGGAGACGTTTTCTTGCTCCTTACACTTGGTAAGTGAAGTAAGCCTGAGGTGCCGGCATCCCCAGAAGTCCTGCAGCACCTGTGGCACCCTCGCTTCTCATGCCCCCGCCACGACTCACACCCACATGGCCAGACCACTCACTCCAAGAGCTCACTGTCCTCACCACAGAAACTAACTCCCGGAGGGGCAATCCAGACACACACCTGGTGACAATTCTGACCCGAATCAGGACTGGTTGCCCTTTTTTGTGACATTTGCTCTACTGGGGAGGAAAAGGCCACTTTCGAAGCTCTCTGACCTTTTCCTGCACGCCGGGTGCTCTGGATTGATTGGTTTTGGTCTTTCAAGTGCTCTTCTTTACTTTCACTACTGGCTCTCCCAGTCAAAGCAGAGGCCTCAAGGTGGGTGGAAACCATTCGTGGGTGGAAACCATTCGTGCAAAGTAGATTCACTAGTTCTCAAGTAGCAAGATCTGGTAAACCCCCAAAGGCTTAGCATGACTAGAGGAGGCAGCCTTGGTAAGGGTCCCTGGCCTCTGAGGCTCTCAGGCCATGCTCGTGGGTCCTGAATAGTATCAGATGCAGAGACAGCAATTTCCACAAGGAAGACAGAGCTCCCAGCTCTCGGGAAGGAGGAGGGAGGACCCTGATCTCAGACTGATTCATTCTCTAACCACAAGTAGTGAAAGAAAACTCAGCAGAATGAAGTGAAGGATTTTAGAGTCCCTAGTGGAATGGGTCTGGTTTTTTTCTTTTGTTTGAGTTGGAGTCTTACTCTGGCTCCCAGGCTGGAGTGCTGTGGCACACTCATGGCCATCCCAGCTTGACCTGCTAGGCTCCAGAGACCCTTCTGCCTCAGCCTTCCAAGTAGATGGAACTACAGGCGTGCACTACCATGCCTGGCTAATTTCTAAAAATTTATTGTACAGACGAGGTCTCACCAAGTTACCGGGGCTGGTCTTTTACCTGCAGGCTCAGGCAAACCACTCACCTCAGCCTCTCAACGTGCTAGGACTAGAGGCTGAGCCACTGAGCACAGCCTGGGTCTGTTTTTAAAAATGACACGTGCACCCCTGCCCTCTTCTCCATGGTGATAAAGCTGTATCTCCACAAGGAGTCACTCAACACTCAGGAAGAAACCACCTGCACAGCCAAATACTGACACGTGTGCATGTTGCAGGGACTGTGGGTGAGGTACTGCCAGCTTAATTAAATAAAAAAGGGGGGTTTCAATGGTACATTACTCATTTCTGTCAACCACAGGGAGATACAGGACAATCAAAAGCCAGCTCAGTTCTGTCTTTAAGAAATAATTTTCTACTGAGGACAGAAGATTAATGTGTGCCGACATTTGGAACTGAGACTACTAATGGGAGGATAATAACTTTGAGGGACCACCATGTCTTTGTATTGTTTCACTGTGGCCTCCTGTGGACTGTCTAGCAAGTGCTCAGAACCTGGGGGGGGGGGGGGCACAGGGAGCCCCCGTGCAGGCCTGGGCGGCAGGAAGGGGTGTTCTGCCACCCTGCACCTTCTCTTCCAGTTGCCTGGGAGACTGAGACCAAGGTCACAAAAGCCAAGAAGCAATGGCCAGGAGCCACACAAGCCCTCAGGCCCAGAGGCGAGGAACTCACCTGCCAAGGGCCTCACAGAGAAAAGCCACCCCTTGTGCCTCAACCAAAGGATCTATGTTCTGCTGGGTGACACCCTGTCACATGCTTCAACCTCGACACCCTAGCTGCTAGTCCCTGTGTCTGGCCTGAGAACACACCCAGGAGCCACACACAACCTCTGAGTCCCCAAAGATCAAGAGACACCGACGATTCACTAAATCACACAGACTATCTAGCTTGTGGATGGATGAGGACAAAATTAAAAATGGGCTCTTGCAGTTCTTACATGTGTGATAAGGAAAAGCGAGGTAAAGTATAGTTGGAAAATGGAGCTAGACAAGCGTCAGCTCTGCAGCATCGAAGGGTAGCTTCGCAGCTGCTCAAGCACTCCGTGCTGAGAGGGGACAAGGAAGCTACAGGGCACAACACACAGCTGCTGCAGGCTAGCCGATCAGCAGGCCACCTGAGGGACCCAGTCCACCTCTGACTGTCACTTCACTGACAGGGAAACTGTTTCTTTTTTCAGAGTTTTTGCCCTTAAGAAAAACGGATCCAGTGAGACTGACGACACTGAAGGCGCCTGCGAAGGGCAACGTTCCTTCCATTATTTTTCTTAGCACCAGTACGTGGCCTGGACTGTGGCAGGATCATGGTGCCTACCTCGACAACGGACTTGGAATCCAGCCGGAAGTTGAAATCGCCAAAGACGAAGTAGGCGACTTTCTCGAATCGCTGATCAATGATTCTGTCGAGAGAGAGGAGACAGAAATCACCAAGAGCACTGAAGTCACTGCCCCTCCATGCGGCTCTAGCGCTCTTCCCCACTGTCCCCATCGCACATTCTCTGCTATCTCCTGCTGCAAGGAAACATCACACTCGCCTTTCTGCACTCCCCAAACTGAGCTTGGAGACCACTGCCGACACACATCCACCAGAAAGCACTCCTCTGTCCTCAGCATGGGCATGTGTGTGCTGCTGCCGAAGTTGAGGGAGAGGAGGGGCAAACTGTCAACTGTATCATCGACCAGGCAGGGGCAGCATGGGAATCAACTCAGCAGAAAACTATAGCCGCACCAAGAAGGAGAAAGGGCCAGGGCAGCTTGAACGAGACTCCGGAGGACTAGGAAGGAGTCTGCAGTCTGCTGGGGGAGTCGGGGAGGAGGAAGCGTGCGGGGGAGCAGATGGCAGCGGTTCATGCAGGTGGCTTCCACAACCACCAGCGAGCCACAGGTCCTGCTATCTCCTCCCAGGCAGGGAAGCATCCTCTGGCTTGTTTTGAAAGTGTCTGTGTATTAGGCCCATTTGGACATTTCAAAGTCAAAAAGTGACTGCATGCATAGACATATGCATATACATTTTTAGCTAGGCACTGCCTTGCTTAAGAAACATCTTCCCACATATTTCATATCCCGGACCATTTTCTAAAGATTTCTCCACTGGCAAACATACACATGGCAAATTCTGACAATGATCATGTGAAGTGGCTTCTCCTGCAGATATTAAAAAAAAACTGTCGGAAATGGTCAGCTCTCTCCAACCCCAAACCCCTGCTCAGCTGGCACTGTGGCAGTAGAACAATAAATAATAAACACACTACATTTTAAGATGGGCTAAAAAAACCCTCAATGTTATCAGTCAGGAAAAAGTTAGAACTTCTTAATCAGATTTACTCGTCTGTAAGCTGGTGAGTGCCAGCCTGGGGCCAGGAACCGCCACGGGCACTGTGACCCCTGAAGCTGGGGACAGGGGTGCGAGAGGCACTGCAGCCCCTCAGCGAGCCAGGATGGGGCAGCTGCTTCGCCACAGCTTGGCCTTTTCCTGCTTGATTTGTTAGCTGGAGGAACTGACACGTGACAGCCAACTTCATTCCGTTCTTACGAGGTCTTGTCCTGTGTGACGTCCTCAGCGGTTTCCCAAGTTCATCCAGTGTGGGGTGGAGGGACCAAGTCACCACGAGGCACCAGGTAGAGCCACAGCCAGCTCCACCCCACACCTTCCCAGAGGAGTCCAGGTTGTCGCAAGGGGGACAGGGCACTGTGTAGGCCACACTTTCATGACTTGGCATGGTAAACGATCAACATTTAACTCTTAGCTACTTGGAGGAAAAAAAATTGGTTTGTCTTAACTTGTACACCCCCAATTACCAGTGAGTTGACTACCTTTTAAAATATTGATGGAAATTTGCATTTTCTCTTGTTTTTACTTGTGTGTAGCCTGCTCTGCTCTCTTGTTCCTTGCCCTTTTCTTGATTAATTCCAGGAGTTTCCTTGTCTCAGACAGTAGGCCTCTGTCTGTAGCAAGCACAGCACATGTTCCTGCTGGTCTGTGGCTGGCCTTTTCATTTTGTCCACGGTGGCTTTTGTCAGGCAGAAGTTTTAATTTTCACGTAATCACATGTATCAGTCTCCCCTGCAGCTGAGACACCTTCCTCAGCCCCTGCACATGCACGGAGCCCCCACCTTTATCTTTATGGTAGAGTTTTTAGGATTATCCTTTAATCCATCTGGAATTACAGTGTAGAGTAGGGATCTAAATTGATCGATTTCCCAAGTGGATGGTCAATTGATCTGCACCGTTTATTAAATGCTCAGCTCTCTTCCCACCCAGCTGATTGGGTCTTTCCTTTCTGTAGATCTTTTAATCTCTTCCTGCATGTTTTTAATTAATATGGCTTTTTATAGGGAAGTCCTTCTTGTGGATGATTCTTTTAAAAATAGTCTCAGCTATTTTCCTGTTGCTCTTGCATATTAATTGCTACATCTTTTTGCCAAACCCCACAAAAGCCTCTTTTTCCTTTTCATTGGAGTTGCCATTTTCAACATTAATTTGAAAGCAAGTGTTTTAAGAAATTGTTAGTAAAAATGTAGCAAAAAATTTCACCTACTTGTTTTAAAGTTTAATCTTTGTAGAGGAAATGCGGTCAGGAACAAAGGCTGCAGGCAATGACTCGGACAGGGCATTGGCGTGGCAGGCTCCCTGCTTGGCCCTCCCCTTTTCCTTCCCATCTTCCTCCGCTCCTCGCTCAGTGCCTCAGGTGCAGGGAGCAGAGGTGAGGAATGGGGCCTGCCCTTACATGGCTCACAGTCTTTCAGCAGGAATGGTCTGAACCACCTTTAAACATATGTATCATTTTCTCTACTGTTACACATGTTTAGAAGAAAAAAAAACCGATGCCAGGGAACCCGTATTGGCCCTTTGCAAGGTCAACAGTTCCGTTAAGAAACCCGCCTGGGCAGCGAGACCTCATCTCTACAATAAAATCAAAAAATCAGCTGGGCGTGGTAGCGCGTGCCTGTAATTCCGGCTACTCGGATGCTGAGCGGAATGATCACTGTAGCCCAGCAGTCGAGGCTGTGGTGCCGGAGCGGCCACTGCACTCCAGTCTGGGCGA